TTCAGACGCAATGCAGTTCTCACGAAGACGCTCGTCTAATCCGCATTTTCGCAAACGGAAACGAGCGGGAACGAGCGGGCCGACGAAGCGGCCGTCGTCGTCGTCGCCATCGTACCCGACCCGATCGATGCCCCGCACGAAAGTGAGGTCACGAGATTCCGTCGTTTCGTTTATAATTTCGCCGTGCCCCGTCGAGGGAAATGAATCGCACGTGAGCGCAAAGACCAGAAGGAGCAAGAATCGGAGAAGAAAGCAGCCCGCCGCTAGAAAATCAATAACGTCGCCGCGCCGGTGTGTTTTATAAACGGCTACAAGACGCGCCATCGACATTTGTGTAGAACGAAGACGAAGCCTCTTTTTATTGATAGTTTTATTGAGTTATGACACGTATATATACATCCCTTTGTTACTAATTCTGATTCATCGCTGGATTTATTAACGCAATATAATTTTAGATCGCGCGATCATAAAAATATTACGCTTACGTGACACTCGCAATTCCTCGACGATAAAACGTGAAGTGTAGCGTTGAATAATTGTTTAGAATCAAAAAATAGAATGCCCCAGATACATATATCATTTAAAATCACAATTTCAACGCTTTTATTGTTATTGTATCAAGTACAACAAAAATCAATTTGGAGCAATTCGGTCGCAAGTTTGAATTAAGTTTACTCTTTTATCAAATTAAATTACATTTATTGTCTGTAATAGACGATTGAAGTTATATTATAAAAAAATCTGCAGCGTAAAATCTCATTGTTGAGATACGTTTCACACCAATTCCAGAATTTATAAGGCAATAATTATATTCGCGACAGTTGACGCGTTGAATCTATCGTGATTTAACGAGATCAGGGCAGAAATATAATATAGAAGATTGACAGTATCAGGAATGACTTGTCGACGGCGATACTTTTCGTAATCGCGTAATCGGCATGAGCTTTTCCGTCCTCGTTATATAATTGTACTGCAACACGATGTAGCGACGGAATTGCCGGGACGTGCAGCGGACCTGTTCCTCCGTCCGACAATAATTTATCCCCGGCTCGATGCGCCAGGCGTCGGTTTATTGCCAATATATCGTTGCACCTCCGGCGTACTTTCCTAATCTGCATCGCGCCCACGATGCATCGAGTGTCTCGGAATTCACGGCGAAAGGAGATCGTGCGCGAACGGATGCGCTTTCTAGTGCCGTCGGAGGGATGATTTAGGCATGCCGCATGACCTATCGACGACGGAAATCTCTCAGTCCTAGACTTTGTGTCGTGATAAACTTTATCATTTATTTAGTCGTTGATGCGTATCATTCAACTGCAAATATTTTAATTATCTTAATGTCCTAATATACTGAAAGAAAAATGCTTACAATTACCATAATTTACTTAATTAACTTTAATTTATAATCACTCTGAATGCCAATTATACATATATTTTTTTACTAGACTTATATTAATGTAATTATTGTTATTAATCAATAACAATAATTATATTAGGTCTCTCGAATTTTAAACAATAACAAAAAAAATAACTATAATAGACTAATGATAGTCAGCATCAATAAACGGCGCAATTATTTAGGGAATAATCAATAATCAGAAATTGACAAAGATGCAGCGTTGTAATATTATAACAATAATAGATAAAATTTATAACCATAATTATTTTATACAATTGTAGTCACAAATACTAATTACTTTTCTCTCATTAGTATAAGTATATCATGAAAATCATATTAAAACAAGAAACATGGAAACAAGATAATTTTGTATCACATTCATATTGTTTCTTTATTATTACTATCATTGTATTTAATGTATTATTATTGTTATTATTATTACATATTTAATAGATATTAATAGACACTTTTATTCTCCATAAATGTTTTATCGTGACAAATGTATATTAACACACTTTTTTATTTTGTGAATCCGTAACAATCAATAAATATGAGTAACACGGTTTGTTGATACGACAGTATTTATACGTGTGGAAACACACAATTGAATTTAAATTTATGGCAATGCAAGAAATTCTCAATGTTGATTTGTTCCGAAATATCTAGTGGAAAAAGTCATTGGCAAGCGTAAACGGCTCGACTCGATTTTTAATTCGATCGATAGCCCGGAATCGAATGAAACGCTTCTCTATGTGGTTTCATCGTTGCGGTATTTACGCTTGCATTTTCGTCACGAAGCTTTCTTATGTAACTGTTATCAACATGTACTAGCAGATGTGTTTGTTTTTGCATCGAGTAAAATTGTGTACACAGGAATATTTCTTAACCATAACTTGTAATATAATAAAAAATTCTAAAAATAAAGTAACTTAATAACATCGTTTTAGTTTTTATTGTTAATATTATATGAATAAGTATATAACATGAAATATGAATTTCTCTTTCGTATTTCAAATGTGACACAGTTCAAATAAAGTGCTTTACTAAATGTTACCATACATGAATTAAATAAACACTAGCTTTCAATCATTAAAAGTGAACTAACTACACTTCATAAAAAGTTGTTAAGATTTAAAACGAGTGGTATTTTTTAAAGGATTATAAAATAAAAAAGGATTGTGTCACAAAAATGACATTTGATCACGTTAAAAATAAATTCTTTTTACCGCAATATTATTTGATTAGTCGACAATTTTCTGTAACAATGGTTTCTCCTCTTCTGAAAAGCTTAATTTTTTGAGCTTAACTTTTTGTGCTATTTTTGGAATAAGGAAACGATATGTAGGAATCTATTGTATTAAAATATATACATTACATTACAAAATTAATTCTAATATATTTTTAAAAAATCAAATTCAAATAAAAATTGCTTCTTCCCTATTTTTTATTATTTTATATACTATATTTCTTTATACTTTCGTTCATATTTTTTAATACTCATACTATATTAATAAAAATCATATCCATTTTACAGACATGATTTATGTAAAATATATAGAAAGCGTAATAAAGTAATTATTCGAAAATATTCATTAATATAAAATTTCTATATGTGTACACATATTCTAAAATTATTTATTAATATATCATAATTCATTTATGTCGCAAGCTTTTTAAAAATGAATGGAAATTCATAACGAGAATATATATATATCTGATAATAAATAATTTAATCATATGTTTTATGCTCGCTCATAAGAAAATACAAAACTTACCTTTTTCAACAAAAAAGAACCTTTATTTCACATATTTTATTATATCTGTAAAATCATTTTGCACAATCATCAAGAAATCTTTATTTTAATTTGGGAAACAAACCGGAATTGAATGACAACGATTTCACACGCCACGGTGGCGTACCAACCGCAAGTTTCTACTTTTAATGTCGTTATCGATAGAACACGATGTATAACGCAAGGAAAAAATTTAAACGCTCCATAATGAAGTAACAACGCAACAGTGTAATCTAATGAAATTGTTACTTGTTTCACTTGAACATTTATCGAGCAAAATCGAAAATTTAATTGTGCATTATTTTCTTCATACAACTATTTCACATTCCATAACAGTTCTCAAACATTTTGTATAAAAATAGCCACACATAAGTTTTGTTTTATTAAAAACACTAAAAGAAGATTTCTTTGGCTCTCTATTTTTTATCTCTATTAAAAGAAAGTCTGAATTTAATCATTTAATTGTTATTCTTTATTTTTAACCGTTCTTCATATTCATGTGTCAAAATGGACAACGGTATTAAAATTGGCGCGTGCTTACTGGATGGCGTGTAAACTCGTCACCGTCGCGCGAACGGAGGTCGAGGGCGGGGCAGCGAATCGTCTACGAGAAGCCCCGACGTTCACAAATGACGGAGGAGGGTGATTACAACCTTCCTTTCATTATACGCCTTCGCGATCCGCGATGATTTTGTTATTCAATTGCTGCGAATCAAACTGTCTCGCCAGTAAATTTGCAATAGCAACGACCGCCTATGTATATTTAGCTTCTCTATATTTAAATCTATTACTATCATTTTTACTTTTTAGAATAATTGTTGATTAAAAAGTGATATATATAATTTAAAAATAAATAGATGATTAAACGTTTTATTAGTACAGAAGAGTTTTTAAAAATTAGTACCATCACTTTATCTTCTTGATGTATTATTAAATAGTATTAAATAACATGACAAAGTATTAATATTTAATATACATAGCTGTAAAAAATAGGTATAATTAAAATGCTCTCTTTATTTAAAAATCATTTTAGTTTCTCTAAATCTTATAAAAATTTTTTGAAAACGTTACGAAAGTTTGAGAATTAAAAATGTACTAATACAGATTTTAATATACATATACCTGTGTATAAACTGTGTTGTATACTTTTTATTGAAAATATGTTTTTATATTTGTAGAAATTTTCTATCATCTATATCTATGTATACTTTTATAGAATGTTCTTTTTCATGTTTCTTTCAAATGACTAGAACTATAAACATTGGAAGAGTGGTATTATTTTACTTAAACCATTGCCTCGCCGCAGGATATTATTTTTAAACGATTTCTATCAAACTCTGTAAATGTCTGAATTGTTTTCAACAAAAAAACCAATATATTTTTTCTGAT